CTGAATATTGCCTGCCAAAGAATGATTGTTGACAAGTGCTGTTCAATATGGCTTGCTGAATGTGGACTGCACCTCACTGCCAGGCCATTCTTTATAAATTGATAAAACATGAGTGAGTTCCTGCTATTCATCTCTGTCACTGTGAATTCATTGACCCTTCATCTGTGAAACAGCTTGGATATTTTCAGCAGTGGGAGGGGGGGGAGAGAATACTGCACGCATAAAAATTATTGATCTGCTTGGAAAATGAAAAACGTGTTATTCATAATCTGCTACTTTCCCTTTGTAGCTAAATACTTCTATGCAGGCAGCAGCGTCAAAAACATATTACTGATGTCATTTGGAACAGGAAATCGATATACTTAAAAAAACATATAAGCCCATACCAGGTACTGAAGGTGAATGTACATATTATGTGCATTGTCAGGAACTTGTTGTTGACAAAATGAAATTCCAAGCCAAACAAAATGGAATTTATGACACGCTTGCTCTTGCACGAGAAACAGTTGCCATTGAGCAGCAGACCAAACTTTTCCCGTATAAAGCGGTTCAACCAAAGCTACAGTGAAATCATGGCAGGAAAACTGAAACATCTGCAGAGTAACAGAGACCAAAGCATCACTGGGGGCTCTTTGAAAACTAGCGTTTGAGTGGTTGAAAGGGAAATTGACTGACAAGGGACTTTGCAAATATTTGCTGGGAAGCCTTCGCAGTTTGTGGATAGTGTTTACATCAATGAGTTTGAAGTTTGACAGTTAGTTGGCTGAGTTTGGATTGAGAAATATTATGAGCAGAGTCCCATAACAGTAATGCATACAGTACTGTGCTGTTGAGGTCCATTTTAAGGTTAAGAGAAGAGAATGTTGCTAGCGGCTTACTGATTTTCCTGTTGCTGTTGCGTATTCCTTGTGTGTTCAGTTTGGAAAAACTTAAGGGGAAATAGTAATTTACATTGTGATATTGACATCAACTTGAATTAGTGAACAGAACTGAACAGAATCCAACTGCAATGTGGACATCAAGAGACTCTTTGTCGGTCTTGACAATTCATCAAAAGTCACAAAGTGCCCACTGTTATATCTTGTTGGTTGTAGCATTTAGGGAGGATTCGTCGAGGGAAGGTTCTGTCATGGTATCAGAAAAGTTCGATATTATCGGCACCCCTGTCACGCCTGTCCCCTTTCTGCCTCTGAAAACGAACCCTGATCCCAGCCCGGCGGGAAACACAACACCCCCGCATCCTCTTCCACCACCCTCGGGGTTGTCTTGGAAATCCTGTCCACCGAAAGCTCTGGTGGAGGGGCACACGGATCTCACCAATTAAGACCGTGTCTCCTGTCCGTTTCCAGAATTGAAAACAGACCTGGAGAGGGAGACAGAGAGACAAAGAAAGCACACACCCCCACGCAGGGAAAACAAACCCCTCCACTCCCAAGGGTACCCATCCCGATGTACAGGTACCGTACACCGGGAGAATGGATTTTTTGAGATGACCGTGTAGTTTATTCCAAGCGGCGAATTAATTCCGCTTCCGGCAGCTTGCGTCAATGATAATACTTCTCCTCTCATTGTGGGGCTGCGATTGATTCAGTCATCGACCAATCAATGGGGTAGCCTAAAGCCAGAGCGTTTCTTACAGGTTGTCTGTCTTACAGTCCGATCCGAACATCAGCGCTTGTTCTATTTTTCCTCTGTTTGATTAACAACGATTTTGTTTCTTCAGTCCATTTACCCCAGAGGTACGCCGTAATTGAACATGCCTGTGATGGGGTATAACATTCTAATGCCCGTTACAGAATTAGGTACTCTGGATATACATGCGTACATGGAACTAATGGTTAAATTGTTCGTTCTTGTTGCTAGAAATGTTGCTGCAATCGGATGCAAAAGCTTTATCTTTCGAGCCACTATTTACATGTGAGAATAAAATCGGATCAATTTGGTCACGGCAAAGTCCGGGTTTTTTTTGCACACTACATGTACGTGTACATATCCCATTTTTGACGGACATTTTACCAGCAAATGTATTCATGGATCTTAAATGTTTTCCATTCTGCTGTTGGATATCTTGATGGAGAATACCTGCAAGATATTTCACATCCATAGCTGGTCTTCTTGATGTGTTGTGTAATTGAGGAAAACATGGCATGATGTGTAGAGCAAAAAAGAGCACCTTGTCGAGGACTTACCTCGAGCATCAGTGTTGAACTCTAAATCAGAGTGTGGTCTTCATCCTTCATCCACCAGTGTGAAAATTTTGCCGAATGCAATTGAGGAGGAAACGAAGATTTCACGCATTAAGCCCACGTACTGTACTAGAGTACTTTTTTCTAGCAGCTAGAGGGAGATTTTTTCAACATCAGAGTTTGAATAAGTCTTGCTGAGTGCACACAGGACGTGCCTTTCATTTCAGTGAAATACATGTAATTTGAAATTATTTCAGTTAAACTGCTAATAATGTCTTTGGTTGGTTTCACAATGTCTTACTGAAGAATTAATTACTAAAGATTTATACTTCAAAAGTTCAGGAATTTTCTTGTGGACGCTTGAAAGAAAGATAGGCCTTATACATTTTAGGTATCTCATTTAAGGTTGGATGTGGTGGGGGGATTGGGTGCATGCCCCCCCCCCCAAAAGGAGCCACAACAAGGGTGATTTTTTGGGGGGGCTGTGTCGTATCCTTTTTCTTCCAAAGTGTGAAAAGCCTCAGAGTGTAGCTTTTTTTTGCTCAAAAGCAAGTCTGCTGACCATCCAAATATTTGGCTCAAGCCCCGCCTTTGATCTTGTGCAATCCATGCAATAGGATTTTTCATTCATGAACATGATTTGAATTTGGAATTTGTATTCATTTGTGGTACCGGTAAATGGGATTTTGGTTATGTTGTCACAGTTTTTGACTCTGTTGTATCACTAAAAATGAAGTCCAGGTTTGACCAATTGAAGATTTACAACACTTGCAGAAAGTACAGTATACACCTGTCAAAATTCCTAGGACAAATTAAATGCAGTGTGGTTTTTATGTTCATGAATATGCAATAAGCAAGTGCAGCCATTGGTTGATGATAATGTTAACCCTAACCGCCAAGCATATTGTTTGGCTTACAGTACTCAGTACTACAAAATACTGAATCATAGTCTTGAGCCTGAAGCACCTAGCGCTACAGATTACTACGTCTGGCTAGATTACTTCCATTGTTACTTGTACAGAGAACAATAAAGTCATGGTCTTATCTATTATATTTTATGGCCTCAGAGAATCATAAGGTCATGTCCTTTTACAAGCGACAGCGCTGATTACTACATTTTACCACAAGTAGTAATTTGTAGTATGGCACTGTGGCAACGCATTATGGAGGAAAAAAGGGTGATCGGGCGGCCAACGCCAATACATTACCTCCATGGAAAAAGAAAGGAATGAAGGGGAAATAAAAGAGACCCCCCTGGCTAACCACGAGACTGTACTTGCTCTGGGCTCTTGGATTACATCCATGCTGGGCCAGACTCACAACGAAATAAGCCCCAACCCTCAAATTAAATGTTGCCACAGCTCGGCATGTTATTTCTGATGGTCCAGTAAAGTGTTTGCTTTGTGTAGCACATGAGGCGGTGACCGGAAAATCCTTTATTTTTTTAAATTTCAAAGCTGTCCCGGGGAGTTATACTTATAGTGCACGAGAGCTTAATGTTCAACTCGGTCGTCGGATTTTCTTTTAATGCTGATTAGGTCTTGTGTTATTATGAATTGCATTTATATCACAATTTATCCTGTGCGAATTTGGAAGCTGGGGAAACACAGTGTGTAGAGATGCTGAAATTGCAGTTGTAATCTCAGAATGCGTCTCAGCGAGTCCAATTACGTAGAAATTTCTTGTTGGTGAGCGTGGGTGCTTCAGATGATTGCCGCCATAACTGCGCAACCGGAACCAGACGATAATCTTATTTTTCAGCAGCATGAGCTGCTTACATGTAGATATCTGTTATCGCTCGCCGATGTGACAACAGTCACCCAGTGACGTATTCAGTTGACCCCACTTCAGCATGCTGCAGCCTGCAGGGTCCCATGCATTGTTCTGATATATGTATCCCTTGCCTTTTCTCTCTTGCTTTTCACAGGGTCAGGTGTACTTCCACCTTGTGTGACAAAAAAAGGTGGCTGTGTTCCAAAGACAGCCGCTGTTTTCTCAAGGAGTTAAAGCCACGTACGTGTGGCAAACAGGTAAGATGGATTAGTATTTTTTGCTTTAAAGTGTATGGATTTAGGGATCTTAGTTGGAATCTCTCTCTCTCTCTCTCTGTGGATTTTTAAACAGCAGCTATTTCTTTGACTGGTGTACGTGTAGACTGTAGGTGCAGCTCTGGTGTCACTCTGTGACTGTCCGCATTGCCGTCGTGGCCTTTTAGAATGAGCCGTCGGCGGGACCCTACGCTAATAGACGAGGGGGTTTATGTTGGCTGGAAACCAGGACGGTTGAGCTTTTGCGAGGTTTGACTTGACTTTAATGTCAGTACTAGCACCGTTGCCATCCCCCTGTCGCCGGGAGCCGTTGAGGACCAGCTCTTCGGGCAGAACAATTGACGTCTCCCCTACCCCCGTGCTATTTGCAAGTGGAGCTCTTGCTACAAGCCAAGAACTCACCCGGGCAGGATTAACCGGTGCCCTGACACCGACTTCTCAAAGTTGCTGTTATCTGATTCCCCCATAACTCATAAACACTGTCTTGGGGAGACACATGTAAGTTGTCAGATTAGACACACTTTGGTACCTTAAGGTGAGAGGTACTTTTTGAATCTACATTTCTTTTTATAAAAAAAATAAAACATGAGCAGCGATAATTTGCATTTCTTCCACAGGCATGCACAGTGTATGCACCATTGTACCATGTGTTTGGTTAATTTGCATGTTCCTTTCAGTAGACAGTTCAGTTTTACTCCAGTGCACCCCTCACGAATCCCCCTTGCATGCTTGGTAGAAGGCCTCGAAAAATGTCAAAAATACCGTTTGCGATCATCGCCGGCGCCGATCAGTGATTATTTTATTCTTCATACTAACATGCATGAGTTGATGTGGTATGCTCTAATGACCGTACATGCAAACCACGCATTCATGTAGTCTTGCATGTGTGTTGGTATGAACTTGTTAAAACTGCATATTAATGTGGCCCAGTGTCCTGCCATTACCTTGCCTTTTAACACCATCTTAAAATAAAAATGTATACATTTGAAGCACTTGTTTTCGTTTGTGAGAATTAATTATGCTTCATAGGTTTATTTTTGGGGGTCGTTTATTATTAGAAAGAATTGACTGAAGAAATGACGGGATCCTGATTCAGGATTTCATTGCTGGCTAGTGTAATTGGAGGAGGCTGGTACCAGACTGTCAATACGGGGCGAGTTCGCGCGTGAACTATATTTCAACCAGTAGTTAAGTGCTTTTAACAATGCCCATGTGCAGTTCAGTTACACTTGAATGACCCTACTTGTAGTTGGTCGATTGTTTAAAATTCCATCGTTACTCACATTTCACCATTGGCTGCGATTCTCGCAGCGCACATGGTCACTGAAATCTGGTACAGTTATTTTCATGAGAATGGTTCCCTCTGTAATGAAAAATGAAATTGGCTTATGGTAACCAGCAGTGCGACCATACCCCTGAGCCTGGCCTCAAATGGGCGACTAAATAGCTGAACTGTCCATTGTTCGGGTGGTGTTAGTCGAAGCATAGTTAACTGTAGTTGTCGCTCCAACTTGCCCATGGCAACATTTGCCGCGATCAAGTGCAAAAAATTGTGGCTGTGTTAGATGTATGACTATTTGTCAACAACTGGTCGATGTTTACTCGGTACCCATGATGTATTTTATACCCAAGGAAAATTGACCAATGACTGACAAGCAATTGGTGATCCACCTTGCGTTATATTTTTTAGCAGTGCATTTCCGGGGGACCTGTGAACCTGACCAGTCTGTAACCAGTTTGCAATTGTTTGCCTGATCTCAAAGTCCTCTGATTTTCTTACAGCTAGACCAACCCTGGCAACCATTGTCATACAATCTTTCTCTTTTCTGTCCTTGCTTTTTTTAATGGGTCATGTTGCTTGTTTTGTGGCTTGGGCTGTGGTAAGCATTCACACAAAAGAAACCAGAAAATTGTATATAGAGAGACCCAGTCACTCAGTGTACTGCTTGGGTTGACTTTGTGAAGTACTTAAATGCAGACATTTGATAAGGCCCCCGAATTCAAATCAAACCTGCAAACTCCTTTAGAACGCTTCACTGATACAAATTACTAAAGACAAATGACCTCAAGCTGTTAATTTATGTCTTCCTCTGTAAAGATTATCCTACCCATGCTGACTAAAAGACTTTCAAATTAAGATATTTATGAGCCTGGTGCATTCTGGTTAATACTTTTTCCCTTTTTTTAACGGAAGTGCCGAAGTAAAATCTCAATAAAGTTTCATGTAAAATGATCAGTTTCCTTAGAAGCCTGGTGTCCAATGCAAGCCCCTCTGTTGATCAGTGATCAAGACAGGTCCACTGGGCATGATCAGCAAGAAGAAAAGCGAAGGAAAAAGAAGACAACACAAAAAAGAAAACAACAAGATCTTTTCCGAAACCCTAACCCCCTCAAGACTGTGTGTAAAATCATATTGAAATTGGAGGATTTGGGACTGAGGCGGGACTTTAAATTTGCTACTTTTGACAGTTTCTTACTTGATTCTTGGATTGCCCAATTGCTTGTTAGTGCACGTTTAATTTCCTGTTCATGGGGTATGTACTCATTAAAGAAATGCATGTTATACATTTTTATAGATGTTTGGTTTGCAAATCTTCTCATTTTCCTTGCTTCTCGGTAAAATGGCATGTTTATGAATGAGCTTGCTTGAATATACACGTAGTTGTAGAATGTGCGTTCTGGGCAGATTTAAAACCCCCTGACGGTCCTTTATTGAGTTTGGAAGTCAGCTGTTGTTGCAGTCAGTTTATGTAACTGTCTGAACGACTTCATGTCATAGTTGAGTGGTGTTGAGTTGAGCTGAGTGAGGCTTGACCGATACCAATGGTCAGTTTGCTTTGAGCATACTCATACACGTAAACTCGATGGGTACAGTTCGCATCAGAGGTACAGTGAAAAGCACTAAGATAATGAGACAGGACTTTGGTCTTTTCTGCCCTGGTTGAAACCGCCCTCCTATCTGCTCAGAAAAAAAGCAAACAGGGCAATTGGGTGATAAAGGTGATGTGTAAGCAGTTTAGTGTTTGTGTACCATCCCACACCTGTAGGGCCGTTTACAGTCAAGTGGGGCCTTTCGTAAATTTTACACCTCTGTTCTTTGCTTGTGCCCTTACATGTGGATGCATTCGCTTAGAAGGCTTCTGTTTTCATGACCCATGTGTGCGGTACTTTTTGTTTTTGATTCCAGTCAAAGGATTTTTGGTGGCATTTGGACTTGGGAAGTGATTTTCAAATCTCTTGGCGGCTTCTGCCCAGACAGAAACAACATATTTTCACCAACGGTGAGTACGGTAAACAGAACAAAAGAACCTTCAAACTGTGCCGTTTTTTTTCTCAATCTCTCAACTAAATTGTTTAATTCTTGGATTATTCCAGAGAAATGTGGATTTCATGACTTTCGACTCGCACATTCCCTGGATTTTTCTTTCTTCCCAAAAGACTGGCTGTGACCGCCAGTAGCTCTTTGTGGATTTTTTCAATAGAGACTTAAACTGGGGTTCTGTTGTCAAGGAGACCCATTTACAGGTTGACACAATGCTAGATTTTCATTGTGCCCCTGAACGACAATGAGGCGTGTTTAGAGGACCCCAGAGGAAAAAAAAAATCAACTTTGTCAATGAGACCAACACTGAATCGAAGTAGGATCTGACAGCGAGCGAGTACAAACTATACTGAACATACCAACCACATTTTGGCAGGAATGCTTACAGGTAGCTGACACAGTCGAGTCGAGTTCAAGACACAATTCACTAAAAGCACAGAACAATCACTTCTTACAGTTGCAAACTTTTTTTCTGCTCAGAAGTATGTTTGCCCCAGATAACATGAAATGCTCTTGGCCGTTTTGGTCAGATGTCACCTCCAATCCATTGTTCTCTTGTTTGGATTTGATAAAGGCATTAAAGTAACTATTTGTTGCAAAAGCAAATACAGGTTTATGGCATTATGTTCAAAATTTGAGGGGAAAAAAAGCACTTGTGGTGGTAGGTACCTGCACATTTTAGTTGGTTGCTTTGTAATGACGATGTCTATCAGGCCGAGGATAATGCAGTAAAAAGTTTTTTATGTTACCCGAGTGGCTGAATTTCTCTGAAAAAATTGAAATGGGAAAAAAAAGAGAATGAGTCTTTGCGCGATTGTAAGGATTCTGGTGGTCTGAGCTGTCAACTTCCTAAGAATGTTTGATTGACCTAGGATTTGAAAAAAGGAAAAAAAATTAAAACTGAGCTTTACTTGCTTCATTTTCTTGATTTTTCCCCCGTACTTTTAAAGTATATATATCTCGTCAATTAGTGTCGCATATTTTTACTCTAAACAAGATTTTTGGGTTGAAATCCCCAACAGACTTTGTGCACTTATATGGAAGTGGGCACCACCAACTTGTACGTGCTTTTACTACGGTGTGTACCTTGAAAGGGCTGGTACAAACTTCAATTTACTTGAGAAACTCAACAGAATGTTTCCTTAGAAACAGTGATGAGGAGGTGGGTGGGTGGAGCTTGGAGTAGAGGAGGAGTTGTTGGTCCTAAGGGGCATTTGCTTTTCCCATCATAGCTCATACATGTACATATCCTGTGGAACATAGCAAACATACGGGGGGGGGGATCAGATATGGCAATTTGCCAAGCCCGCCATTGCAGGATGCCACAAACGTGACCACGATAATCAGAAATTATTTACAAATTTCTTGTCAAGGCTCAGCAAAAACTTGAATCCCCTCAAAAAATGTGCTATATCTATTGTACCGGTATCTTTCTTTGTAAACGCAGAAAAAAATAGTTTGGGTGGTGGACTTAGTAGCCAAAATTTCCTTTAATGCAGCCAGTACATGTTCCTAGCCTCAGGCCAGCATTCTGATAATTATTTCTTGGTGGAATTCTTTGTGGCGTACCTTTCACGTTCAAGGTCTGTCATTGAGCAAATACTCCAAAATGAATTGCCTGTTTTTCTAGCACCCCAAAGCTTAGCTTTGTAACTGGTAGAAAATAGGTCAACAGAAAAGAGCCAGGCTTTCGCAAAGCCGTTCAGTTTAAACTCAGAAATTCCTAAGTGCATGAGAGTTTTGCTTGCCAGAAAACATGGGCCCAATGTGCTCAGCAGATTTTTGTGCTAAGCAGGAATAAACAGATAGCCAGTGTTAAGAAGTAACCCTCTGCATGGCATTCTAACTGGTAACCCGTTTCGTCCGTGCTTTACAAATTTCTGCAGAAATAAAATCTCTTTTTCAGTTGGAGTGTGGTGTGAAAGAGTTCAACGGACTTATCTGAGCATGCAACATCCAGGGGCCTTTAAGGCGTTATTCATTCCATTATAAAGAAAGTGTCAACCGACCTCTCTAACAGTTGTTATATGTAACCAGTATAAAACTCTGTGTATTGAATTTGTACAAAAAATTTAAAAAAAAGCTCGTTTGTACTTACCGACCCCATTTTCAGATACCTTGTAAAGGAAGCAGAACTATTTTTGTTGGCATTAGAGCTCAGTGCGATTGACTCCACTAGTCCTCTGCTAAATTTTTACAAGTTTCCCTTTTTGGCTTCGTCTCTCCTTTAAACTTGGCTTCCGAACATTCTGAGCGCACGTCGCGCGCCAGGCAAAACATAACCTTTGAAGCATTCAGCACGGATTCCCCCCCTTCCGCCTCCTGCCTGTCCATTTGTGGCAAGAGCAGAGCACGTGTATGTATAAACACACATAGAAAAGCTCTTAATGGATGAAAATATGCAGACCACGCTGCCGATAGGCACCCCGAGGAGGCCAGACGCTCTCGGGTTGCCAGGCATGAGTTGGCCTGCCGTTCACCTGCATTCCCCGTCAGTTTCAGCAGGCTGGATGTGCCAACCAGCTGCACTTCCCAGCCCACATACCAGTCCGTGCATCTGATGCAATCCAACCCCTTGGCACTTTGCCAGAAATGTGTCCGTGGGAGGAAGGGAAATGAATGGAGGAGAGGCGTTGGTTTGATCCGCTACACTTCCTTGAAAATTAAACGAGATTAAATGAGCATCCCTCTCTTGTTATTAGTGCATGACATGTTCCTGTCATAACATCTGGTCTAGAAACAAATTTATGTCCCACTGCTTGCTGTTTATTACCACTTTTTTTCTGCTTTCTGTATTTTAGCAAAAAATTTTTTTCATTCACAATTCACTTTCTTTCTGTTTTCTGCATTTTAGCGAAGCTTTTTTTTTTCACAATCCACTTTCTTTCAAATGGTAAGCTTAAATTCTAATTATTTGCTTGGGTCAAAGTCCAAATTTCATTTCAATAATGACAAACGAAAGTGTTTTACCCCTATTTTAGTATTTTAGCACTGTGTAGTATATTTTGATAAAAATATTTTCATAACTACAATTATGCTTTTGATGCAAAATGAAATCATAAAAAGATATTGTATTAACTGTCAAGTCAAAGGAGTAAATGTACCTCAAGTAGCTACACATTTCTGGAGATAGGACTTGTCTGGAAATTGCATGAGAATTGATATTGTTCCAAGTAAATATATTGTGCTAAAGGTCTCAGCATTTAATGATTGATGAAGGAATTGTTTGCATGCACCGGAATACAGTGCAGTCTGATTTCTGTTTCATTGGAGAGCTCTCATCTGTTGACTGCTGTTATGTTTATGATCATAAATTCGAAAAAAATGTTTACTCATCGTACTGTGAAGTTCCCAATGGACTGGCCTGGTCAGCCTACTCATTTTCCAAGGGCTTGTTAGACTTTTATCAAATACTTCTAGATCGACTGGCATACCATACCATTTTAGAGAGTTTTCAATTCAGGGGAAACCTGCCTTGTGCCATGGTTATCAGAAATAGGAAAAAAAAATCATAATTAGGAAAAAGAACCCCAACAACATTAATAAGAAAAAAGAAGGTGTTTTGAATGAAAATGGGGCAGAAAGGTTGGTTCAGTGTCGGAAGAAAAAATATGGAGGCATACATGTGCAGGGTACTTGCACATACATTGGTTCTAAATTGGTAGTGATGCAGATGGCTTTTTTTGTCTGCATCTGACATCTTTGTGGAATACTTTGCCCGAAGCCTGCTTTCCTTCCTCCAACTTTCTGCTTTCCGTGAAGGAAGAGTTCCTCTGCATCCCCGATCCTTCTCATAAGTTCTTTTTCCATTTTCCCCTCTGGTAAGTCTAAAAGACAACTTCCACAAAAGAGTTCTTTGTTGGTGTCGGAAAGAATCCGGCTGTGCTCCCTGTGGACTGGAGCTTTTGCCATTTTCGTGAATGTACAATGCTAAGAAAATTGCCCCTAACGCTGTTTACAGGCAGAAACAAAATCACGCTTTCATCGCCTGCTCTGTGTTCAGACCTGAGGTTGTTGGAACTCAGGATTTTCAGTGGAGGGATCCAGCATTTACAAAAAGGGGTACCTCAGATGGGGTCAACCTAATGTAAGTGGGCATATTTAAACTTGTTGAATGACCAGTTACCGGTATCAGCACAACGAAAGTGGAGAAAGGAAAATGTGTCTCTCTAAAACAACACTTGGGAGGAGGGGTTATATGCTTGGTTCCCCCCCCCTCGATCTACTACTGACGTTGATCAACTGTCTCCCTCAAATTCCCCTTTCGTGATTGACATCTCGTCCCGAACAGGACACGACGTATCATTAATGTTGCGTCATTTCTACTCGATAACATCCAAACTTAAATCCCGGATAACTTGTCTTTTTTTTTACATTACAGAACTTGCCTTTGTATCTATTCTAAGTCTATGTGGAGAACAGTGGTAATCTTTTATCGTCACCGAGGTCTTATCGTTACTAAACCAACTCCGCCCCACCTTATTACCGATAAGCTTTGCGGATCTACCTTGCCTCTGTATTCAAATGATGCCCAAGCTAACACGCTATGTGTCTCTCACCAGCTAAATAAAACCTGACTCATCTAAGCAAACAGAGACCTGTTTTTCCCATATGAAATGTGATTTGACTTTGAAAGAATTGAGAAAACTCAAAAAAAAAAAATAATTTGGCCTAAAAATAGAAAAGGCTGCTGCATAATGCAGAGATGGACGAAGAATATGGACTCAGCTAGCACAAATGTAATCCAAAATTGGCTTGGAGACATTCATGTACAAACCTTTTTTCGCTTGCCAAAAGGTCGGTGTTGAAAGAAACTAATCTCTAAAGCTATCTGTGTGTGCATACATGCTTATTCCAACAGACTATAAGTTCCATTATAATTGACCACAAATCTTATTTGGTTGGCATGGAGACGGGACATTAGAAATAGTCTTTCAGTATACCTTTAGGACTATAACC